AGTAACTATTCAATGCTTAGAACTCACCCCTGCAGATTCAGATTCAGTTGGCATAGAGTGAGGCCTGGGAATAGTGTCTTTATTAATACTCTGATGATACTGATGTAATGAGCCTTCAATATTTTTTTGTTTTTTTAAACATAGGTTTATAGCACTGTTGAGGAGTTTTTCTTTTTTAAAACTTCGATCTTTAGCACTTTATAAAAGTTTTCATGTCATTCTCTCTTGTCATCAGATCTTGTTCTGGCTTAAAAAACATCTACAAGGTAATATCTGTTCTTGAATAGAAGCCGACATTCTGACATACTCTTTTGCTGTTGTCATATTGGGTTTTTGTAATGCCTCTTGAAATGAATCAGATGAAACTCTATTTTCTTATTTCACTGGATTTAAAAATGGAATAAAAGTCTTAGAGTACATGCTTATAGGCTATAGATATATTTGCACTTCCTTTAAATATTACAGTTTATTACCCCTGAACTATACCAGTATTGTTTGGCTCAACCTTCATTTTTAGTACACAAATGACTGCATCCTAGAATCAGTTTTCTTTCAGTGTTTGCTGCAACCTTGAAGACTGGAAAAATACTCTAGTGACTTATCAAAAGGCTATTTTTCCCAAAGACTTAACTGTTACTATTTGGGATTTGTTAGGATTTTTTATAAACACATAGATGTCTGTTAGCCCCTTCCTTCTTCAATTTTATAGTGTATTAAGGAGGGTTCCCTATAGCTGTTTTCAAGATTTTTTTATTGGGCCTCATTTAATCATTCAGTAATATTTTGAGCATCTATTACATTCTAGGCACTAGAAACATAAAAGTAAATAAGACAGACACCATTCCTGTTTCAATGGTGCTTATAGTCTGATGGGAAATAAAGATAATTATTTGATATAGTAATTGTACTAGGTAGTGTCTCACAAGAGAAACAGAACTAGCAGGAGATACATATATATTAATATATATGTCTGTATATATATGTGTGTGTATATATAATGTGTGTGTATAAATGTGTGAATATATGTGTATATGTACATATATAGTATGTGTATATACTATATATATGTGTATAAGCTATATAGTCTGTATATATATAAATATATATTCTAGATAGATTATATATATAGATGTATAAATATATATAATATATATAAATATAGAGAGATATGAAAGATTCATGCCAAGGAATTGCCTTGTACAATTGGGAGGGTTGGCTAGTCAAGTCCAAAATTCCAAGGGTGAGTCGGTAGTCAAGAAAGGAAGGCTGGCATTTGAATCAGTTCTAATGAGGTGGATGAACGTAGAGCCTGTTATACAGAGTGAAGTAAGTCAGAAAGGGGAAGATAAATATCATATACTAACACATATATATGGAATCTAGGTAGATGATGCTGATGAATTTATTAGCAGGGAAGCAGTGGGGACACAGACAGAACAGGCTTATGGACCCAGGGAAGAGGGAGGAAGGAGACGGTGAGCTGTGTGGAGAGAGTACCATGGAAACTTACATTACCATTTGTAAAATAGACAGCCAATGGGAATTCGCTGTTATGACTCCGGGAACCCAAACAGGGGCCCTAGAGGGGTGGGATGGCGAGGGAGATGGGAGGGAGGTTCAAGACGGAGGGGACATAAGTGTACCTATGGCTGATTCATGTTGATGTTTGGCAGAAACAAACAAAATTCTGAAAAGCAATTATCCTTCAATTTAAAAATAAATAAAAAAAAAAAAAAAGAAAGGAAAGCTGGAAATTCTCAAGGTGACACTGCAGTTCACAGGCAGAATTTTATTCCTCAGGATACCCTGGGCTCTGTTCTTAAAGCCTTTCAACTACTTGGAACAGGTGTACCATAATTATGGAAGATAATCTCTTTTACATAAAGTCAACTAATTATAGATGTGAACCAAATCTATAAACTGTCTCCACAGCAACACCTCAATTAGGGTTTGATTGAATAACAGCACTATAACCGAGCCAAGGTGACATGTAAAACTGACTATCACAATAATGTTTGAAAAATTCTATGGTGGAGAAAGTATAAAATGCCAGAAACTGACATAGCAGAGGCATCTATCTTAGTCTACGGGGAGTCAGATGTTTTCTTAAAACTGACGACAATTAACATAAGACCTAAGAGATGAGTAGGAATTAACTAGATAAAGAAGTGGATAGAGAATATTCTAGGGTATGGGAAGTATAAGCAAAGGTCCAGAGACCAGAGAGAAAGCAACAGAGATGTAATTTTCTCTTCTTATCAGATGTTTTTTCCTGACTTTCTTTTTTCAGAATACCCACAAGGTGATGGTTGTTCTTTAACAGAATCTGAGATTCGAATTTTTTTTTTTTTTGGTCATTATTTATTAGCTTATTGTCATGCCTTCAACACTGAATCAGATGAAACTCTATTTTCATGTTTTAATTAGCACTTTCAATTGCTAGTGAGATGAAGCATCCTTTCATGTTTATTTGACATTCAGGTTTTCTTCTCTATAGATTGCTGGTTTTTAACCTTGGCACATATGGGTAGTTTTCTTTTCCATATTGATACATATGATTTGGATATTACTAGAAGTTCTTTGTCTTCATATGCTTTGCACATATATTTCCCAGAGAACATCAGTCCAAACTGGGAGGCACTTTGTAGACTACAGTTGCAGGTGAGTGCAAGGGGACCTCGTCAAATCTGAGAGTGCTGGGGTGACCTCAATGCTGGACTCAAGACTCACTTCTAGGACAGAGCTCTCATACTGAGCATGAACAATAGGGGCACAGGAAAGGGAAGGGGAAAGGAGATAGCCCACTTCACAAAGCACAGTGGGTTTTTTAAAAAACAATGCAAATAAATGACAGAAGAGGGAGCTCCAGAATCCTGAAGCTAGGAAACCTACACTGACTGTCTTCCCTTCTAGGGAGGAAAACTCATCTCATTAATATATAAGTAACAGGAAAGAAAAGTGGTCAAACCTACTCAAAACTACTATCAGAAAAATAGGAAAATTAGTAGCAGAGTAACATTCTTTCAAGCAATGAAAACAAACCAGAATGACAGGTCCACAAATAAAGGAAAACTATATCTACTATTTTAAATAAACAAGGTGAACAAAATTAAGAAAATGAGAAAATATATTAAAAACAACTTAAATTATAATAAAAAACAAGTCAGACATAATATTATTGGAAAAAAGAAAACAGGAATATTTGATAATGCAGCTTATAAAACAGGAAAGGTAGGAAAAAAAGAAATAACACTTTAGAAATGAAGAATGAAGTAAAAGTAATACATTAGTTAATAAATATCATAGGTAGTAACATAAACAGAAACATACAATGAAAGGGAAGAACATTTTAACTTAAAAATATGAAAGAAATTAAAAAGGATTTAAGAGAAAGTAACATTAAATATCTGCAAAGTGTGTGTCTATGTGTGTGTGTGTGTAAATTCCTAAAGAAAGTCAAAGCAACTGAAGAGAGCAGAACAAATACTACTAATAAAAAATAATCACACAATCCAGTTGAAAAATGAACAGAAGACCTAAATAGACATTTCTCTAAAGAAACAGAGATGGCCAATAGGCACATGAAAATTTGCTCACCATCACTAATTATTAAAGAAATTAAAATCAAACCACAAAGAGGTACTACTTCACACTGGTCAGAATGGCCATCATTAAAAAGTCTACAGATCATAAATGCTGAAGAGGATATGAAGAAAAGGGAACCCTCCTACACTGTTGGTGGGAATGTATGTTTGTATAGACACTGTGAAAACAGTATGCAGGTTCCTCAGAAAATTGAAAACAGAATTACCATATGATCCAGCAGTTCCACTCCTGGGCATATACCTGGACAAAAGTACAATTCAGAAAAATACATGCACCCCTATATTCATAGCAGCACTATTCAAAATAGCCAAGACATGGAAACAAACTAATGTCCATCAAACTGATGAATTAATAAAGATGTGTTATGTATAAATATAGTGGAATTTTCACCCACCCATAAAAAGAATGAAATAGTGCCATTTTCAGCAAGCAACATGGATGCAACTAGAGATTGTCATACTAAGTGCGTCAGAAAGAGAAAGATGAATACCATTTGGCATCATTTGTATGTGAAATCTAAATACACCACAAATGAAACTATCTATGAAACAGAAACTCAGAGGGAATGGAGGGAGGGATGGAGTAGGCAATTGGGGTTACCAGATGTATGCTTTTATATACAGAATGGATAAACAACAAGATCCTACCGTATAGCACAGAGAACTATATTCAATATACTATGATAAACCATAATGGAAAAGAATATTTTTAAAAAAGTATATATATATATATAAACAGAATCACTTTGCTGTGCAGCAGAAATTACCACATTGTAAATCAACTATATTTCAATAAAAATAAAGTCTATTTTTTCTGGTATTAGTATAGCCAGTTTTGTTCTCTTTTGGTTACTATTTGCGTAAAGTATCTTTTTTCTAATCCTTTTAATTTTAATACATTTGTGTCTTTGGATCAAAAGGAATTCTTTGGAACATATAGGTTCACCATGTGTTTTTATCCATTTTGCTGATCTTTGTCTTTACCAGAGAGCTTAATCCACTTATGTTTAATTAAACCTCCATTCTGCTATTTGTTTTCTAAATGCCTAATAGCTTTTCTGTCCCTCATGTCCTGCATTACTGCCTTCTTTTGTGTTCAGTTGATTTTTTTGTAATATAGGCTTAAATACCTTTCTCATTTCCTTTTTGTAATTCTATAGCTATTTTCCTTGTCACTGGCATAGGGATCACATTCAATGCCCGAAAGTTATACACTCTAATTTCAATCTATACTTGCTAAACTTCAATAACATACAAAAAACTCAGCTCCAGGGACTTCCCTTGTGGTCCAGTGGTTGAGACTCCACACCTCTACTGCAGGGAGCACAGGTTCCATTCGTGATCATTGAACTAAGATCCTGTATACTGTGCAGCATGGCCAAGTTTTTTAAAAAATATAAACAAAAAAACCCCTTTAGCTCCATTATATTACATCTCTCTCCCCATCCTTTTCAGTTGGTTGATGTCAAAAATCACGTCTTTATACGCGTTGTGCTCCAAGATGTTGGTTTCTTTGCTGAGAATCAACCCAATGTATATACTTAAAGTCTTCTCAGATGTCTTCTGAATTTTCCCTCTGTGTCTGTGTGGTCACTTTCTAATTTCCCTTATATATGCAGTCATTTTGAGTGGCTTAGTCTTTAATCTGTTTTCAAGAGAAAATTGAACAGGAGAGAAAATGCAAGCTGGCCCTTTAAGTTCCTTGGATGTCATAACAGGCAGAGGAGAAAGGCTTGCAAGGATGAGAGGAGGTGCAACAATGCCCCTCAGATCCTCCTCCTTGCCTCAACCTCTGTGATAAAAACCAGTGATCAGCAATCAGAGCACAGTTCCCTGATACTTGCAGAACAGGGTCCTTTTGGTCCACTCTGGCTCCCGTAAGCTGTTTGCAGCCTACTTCAGGAACACGTGCACAAATGACTGCCACATAGATTGGGGATGGTAGATTGGCGGGCTGTAACTTGCTGATATGGAATTGGCTAACATAAACTGCAGTTTTTAGTCCAAGTCTTCCCTTTGAAGTTGCAAGCCTTCAACAGACTCCAGAGTTCCAAAGTAATTACATTATACAGGTTTACCAGCACAATTGTTGGCGCTGTGGGGAGACAGAGACCTGGTGCTTCCTACTCTGCCACCTTCCCAGAATCCTCCTCCTGGTCTTTTGTAACAACAGCCAAGCAGGTTAGAGCTGGGTGCGAGTGAAGAGCCTACAGACATTGAGTGAGAACTTAGCAGTGATCAGGATGGCAATAATGAATTGTTGTGATGCCTGTTTCAGTCTTCCAGAGGCTATCTTCTTGGTCTCTTCTCAGCCTTGTCTGGTTTAATGGAGGTCATCAGGCAGGGAACACCTGACAAGTGGGTGTTTTGTAGTTTCTCTCAGGAGCCGCCGTCGTAGTGAAGACAAAGTCTGTGATGTGGAAAAGACTCAGCGATTCAGGCTGCGTCCCTGGATAATAGCGCTCTGAAGACATGAGTAGAAACTGTGTTTCTCTTTCCAGGCAAATATCCTTGTAGCTGGTGTGATATCAGCTAACTTTCAGATGTCAGTCTTGTATTGATTTCTGTAATTCAAAGTCAAATTTTGGCATCAAAGACCAAAAGGATTTTATATGTCCTTTGGAAACCCTTCAGCCCTGGGTCAGTTGTCCTCAGCACACTTTAACCAGTAAGCAGTAGTCACACACACTTAAGAAATCAATGCCTAACTTCTCTTCAGCACCAATAAGCACCATCCACAGCAAACCTCCAATTAAAATAAGAAATAAGAAAATAAGTTAAAATAAGAATGTGAAGAATGGGTTCATAGAAGATCCCAAAGACTCAGAGATCACAGGTTAGAGAATTGTTGTTTTTTTTTTCTTTGTCTTGTGGTCAATCTGAGACAACTTGTTTCTTTTGCCTTAGAAGTTAAGGAGTTTTCACTGGGCCAAAATTAGGCTGTGAAATCCTTTTTGCTCTCTCTATAGGAAGATAGATTTCAGGTCCTGCAGGTGACAGCAGGATGAGGTGGAGGTTGTTAGAAATGTTATTCTTACCTCTATGGTGTACTTCAGCGTTAAATGTTTCAACAAGCCCTCTTCTGTTAATTCGACTTCTCTACAGTCTTAAGAGGTACAGGGTAAATTTTGATCATATGTAGATATTAGATCATATATAGATTATATTCTGTAAGTCATTCTACTGACTTGACTTTTTCCTAAGTCTAGAAAATAGTAGCATCTAATAAAAATAGTTGTGAGGAACACTTCAGTCTTATTCTTTAATTTTACTAAAATGAGAAGGGGAGTGAAGGAGGTGGACATAGAACAACAAAGAACAAATGAGGGACACTACAGTGGCGATGAGATTTCCTTGGAGGTTAATTGAGAGACACGGATTATAACTATTTATCTTTTGTGTGTGTGTGGATACCCCGGCCTGACTTCCTGGTGAGTTCTTCTGAGAGAAGCCATTTTCCGGGAAGGCATCCTTCAGTCCAGTTTTCAATGGGACTGGTTTTCCATGAGCTTTGTTTTCTCACGTTTTGAAGCTCATACCCTTACTAGGAGGTTTATTGCCCCACAATCCTTTATCCATTTTCCACTAACTTACTCACATGTGACAGTCCCAATTCAGTTTTTGAAATAGAAGCTACTTTAGGTATTTTAACAGAAAGGGATTTCATATAGGGAACTAGATGTTAAAAAATAATGTATGTAGTTCTGGAAGATGCTACAGTTACCATAACCAAAAGATGGGGACTCAGAAGTCTGCACACTTGAACTGTAGACAGGAAGAAAATCCCATGAAGCCTGAGATCCAGGGATCGGGACACTGCCCCTGGTGTTGCCACAACTACCTTGGAGAAGGGAAAGGCTATCCACTCCAGAAGGGAAAGGCCTGGAGAATTCCATGGACTGTATAGTCCATAGNGAAGGGAAAGGCTATCCACTCCAGAAGGGAAAGGCCTGGAGAATTCCATGGACTGTATAGTCCATAGCGTCACAAAGGGTCAGATACGACTGAGCGACTTTCACTCACCTTTCCATAGCCATGAAATGTTGGGCCCTGCTGTCGAACACCTGGTTTCTTGACTGCTCATCAGCAGAAAACAGAAGAGCAGAAATACAGATCTGTCCAACTCTGTTTTTCTTTTCTCACATGAGAAATGTAATTGTAAAAAAATAATCGCCTAAGACTGTTGCTTTAAGGAAGTATGGGAACAGTTAGGCTTTAGTTTTCCTAGTTAGTAGGCAGCTTGAAAGGATCCTGAGAATTTCCATGAAAACAGCCAAGTGCTTTAAGTATTTCCAAAGTGCTAAGGGTAAAGCTTAAGCCAAAGGAATGAATGTCTAATAATGGAACTTCATCCATTAGTGAGAGAAACTCATCTTTCTCTCAGTGTTGGAAGGGCACATCAGATCTTAACGTATAAATGATTTCTAACAGTTTTACCTCTGGCTTACTGCTGCCTGTGGTTACGGTTGTCCAACAGAAAACAGAGTCCTCACCTAATGTTCCATTTCTTACCACCTAAGAATGCAGTGTATTCTCATGTATAATTTTATCATTGAGATCAAGAATTGAGTTGTCCTCCCATCCAAGTACTAACCAGGCCTGACCTTGCTTAGCTTCTGAGACCAGACGAGATGAGGCATATTCAGGGTAGTATGGGAGTACACGTGTCCACTCAGGGCTGATTCATGTCAGTGTATGGCAAAAACCACCACAATATTGTAAAGTAATTAGCCTCCAATGGAAAAAAAAAAAGAATTGGGCTGTCCTGTTACAGGCCCTCACTCTCCTCCATTGTTAGGAAAAACACACATGAGAACACATAATGGAATGTGCCAAGGGGGGATTTTGTGTTGGTTGCCTTACTCTGCACAGGGAGATCACTGTGGACTGAGCGTGTAGGACTCGAGCCCAGAACTGGCCCGTGAGACACTCACTTGTTGGTACCCCCAACCTCTGCCCCTGGGATGAGTCTGCCAGGACAATTTTTAAATGTCTAGGTGAAAGAGACTCCTAAAAGTTTTACTATTGAGCTTATATTTTTAACTCATTTTTTCTTTCTTTTTTCCATTTATTTTTATTAGTTGGAGGCTAATTACTTTACAATATTGTAGTGGTTTTTGCCATGGTCCCCCCTCCCTGTGTCATATTTTAAATTCTACATATAAGCGATATCATATAGTATTTGTCTTTCTTTCGGACTTGCCTCACTTAGTGTGATAATCTCTAGTCACACCCATGATGCTGCAAATGGCATTATTTTATTCTTTTTTATTCTTTATTTTTTTAAAAGAACTATTTATTTTTGGCTGGGTCTATATTGCTGGGCGGGCTTTTCTATAGTTGTGCATGGGCTTCTCATCATGGTGGCTTCTCTTGTGGAGCATGGGCTCTAGGGTACACAGGCTTCAGTATCTGCAGCTCTCAGGCTCCAAAGCTCAGGCTTAATTGCCCTGTGGTATGTGGGATCTTTCCAGATCAGGGATTGAACCAGGGTCTCCTGCATTGGCAGGCATATTCTTTACCACTGAACCACAAGGGAAGCCCCTATTCTATTCTTTTTTATGATTGGGTAGCAGTCCATTGTATATATGTACCATGTCTTCTTCATCCATTCATCTATTGATGGACATTTAGGTATTTCCATGTTTTGTGAACAGTGCTGCTATGAACATCTGGGTGCATGCATCTTTTTGACTTACAGTTTTGTGTGAGGAGGAGTAAGATTGCTGGATCACATGGTAATCCTGTTTCTGGTTTTCTGAGGAACCTCCATACTGTTTCCACAGTGGCTCTACCAACTTACATTCCCACCCACAGTGTAGGAGGGCTCCCTTTTTTCCCACATCCTCTCCAGCATTTGTTATTTGTAGAGTTTTCATTTTTATTTATTTGGCTGTGCGGCACAACTTGTGGGATCTTAGTTCCCTGACCAGGGATTGAACTCAGGACCCTGGCAGTGAGAGTGTAGAGTCTTAATCACTGGGCCACCAAGGAATTCCTTGTAGAGTTTCTAATGATGGCCATTTTAACTGCTATGAAGTGGTACTTCACTGCAGTTTTGATTTGCATTTCTCTAATAATTAATGACGTTGACCAAGTTTTCATGTGCCTATTGGCCTCTGTATTTCTTCTTTAGAGAAATGTCTATTTAGGTATTCTGCCCATTTTATGATTGGGTCTTTTTTTATTGTTGCTGTTGAGTTGTATGAGCTGTTTGTATAGTTTGAAAATTAAGCCCTTGTCAGGCAGATTGGTTGCAAATATTTTCTCCCATTTCATAAATTGTCTTTTTGAAAACAGACAGTTTATGGTTTCCTTTTTGTGCAAAAGCTGGCAAGTCTGATTAGGTCTGATTTATTTTTGTTTTTCTTTCTTTTTTTTTTTTCTATTGCCTTGGGAAACTGATCTAAGGAAACATTAGCACATATTATGTCAGATAATGTTTTGCCTACTCTCTCTTTTAGTTTTATGGTGTCCTGTCTTATGTTTAAGTCTTTAAGCCATTTTGAGTTTATTTTTGTGTATAGCAAGAGGGTGTTAATTCCATTGGTTTACATGCAGGTATCTGTCCAACTTTCCCAGTACCACTTGCTGAAGAGACTTTCTTTTTCCAATTGTATATTCTTGCTTCTTTTGTCAAAGATAATTTACTGTAGGTGTGTGGGCTTATTTCTGGACTCCCTATTCTGTTCCGTTCATCCATACGTCTATTTTTATGCCAACATCACACTGTTTTTTCTTCTTTTAAGATTTTTTTTGGGATGTAGACAATTTTTAAAGTCTTTATTGGGTCCCATAGGGTCACAAAGAGTCAGACATGCCTGAAGCAACTTAGCATGCGTGCATGCACATACATATGTCCTCTCCCTCTTAACCTCCCTGCCACCCCCTACCTCCTCCTACCCCTTTAGGTTGTTACAGAGCCTTAGTTTGAGTTTGCTGAGTCATACACCAAATTTCCATTGGTTATCTATTTTATGTATTGTAGCCTATGTGCTTCCATGCTCCTCTCTCCATTCATATCACCCTCTCCTTCCTTCCCTCTACCTGTATCC